TCAGGTTGTGACTAGGTTCAGGGCTCAGTCTTGGACCAGGATCAGGGCTCAGTGTGGGACCAGGATCAGGGCTCAGTCTGGGGCTAGGATCAGGGCTCAGTCTGGGACGAGGGTCAGGGCTCAGTGTGGGACCAGGATCAGGGCTCAGTGTGGGACGAGAGTCAGGGCTCAGTGTGGGACCAGGAACAGGGCTTAGTCTGGGACGAGGGTCAGGGCTCAGTGTGGGACCAGGATCAGGGCTCAGTCTGTGATGAGCGTCAGGGCTCAGTGTGTGACCAGGGTCAAGGCTCAGCCCTGGGCGGGTGGCAGCAGTCTGCTGCAGACACAGAGGGATCTGAGGTGTCCTGTGGCCTCAGAGCCCTGCAGCCCCTCCTGCTGCCTGCATTCTCAGAATAGCTCCATGCTGTCCTCACTGTGTTTGGTGTCCCTGTCGCATGATTCCTCACCACTCTGAAAATAGCTGCTGGGAGCAGGTCGGGGTGGGAGCAGCCCCTGCACGTGGACCCCATGGAGTGGAGCCTGCCCCCCACCCCCAGCGTATAAATATTGTTGTGCCTGGCTGTCAACTGCCTTGACCTTTTCCCTGGTAGCTTGGGGCTTCCCCCTGGTGTGCAGGGCCTGGCTCCCTCCTGGCCACCATCTGAGCAGGTGCCTGCCCTCCCTGCTCTGAGGCACCCCTGCCCACTGAGGCCTGCCCCTCTGAGACTCTGAAGGCCCCTGTGTGGGGTCTGGCTGTGACCCTTGACTAGACCTGTCTTGCAACCACCGGCTGAGAGGGCTGCTCAGAGCAGGGACCACACAGGGGCCCACTTGTGGGCTGGTGGTGTCCTTTCCCTGCCTGAGGACCCAGGGGCTTTGTCTGGAAAATGCTGGTGCATCTGGGATCCTGAGCACCCAAGAGGAGGGAGGTGACATGCTGGGGAACTGGCTCACAGCTGTGTAGCTGAGATGGCAGTGCGGGTAGGTGGGGGCACCCTCCCTGCTGCTGGGTGGGCCTAGGGACAGGTGCCCCAGGAGCATCAGGAAAGACTCTTCTGCCCCCTGGCAAGTCACTGAGCCTGAAAGTCTGTGAACCATGGGTAACTCACGCCGGGCATCAGCCTTCCTGCCTTGTTGAGGGGGGCATGCCCTTGCCCCAGGGGCCTCAATCAGGGGGTCCCCACCCCTGAGCCCTGTAACCCCAGCCCAGACCTGCCTTCCTCCCTCCCTGCCAGGACCTGAAGAGGTACGGGGCCACCACTGTGGTGCGTGTGTGCGAAGTGACCTACGACAAGGCCCCGCTGGAGAGGGATGGCATCACCGTCGTGGTGAGGGTCACGGGGTGCGGGGGGCGTTGCTGCTGTCTCGGGGGGTATGATGGGGGTTGCTGGGGCTCCCCTCAGCCTGGGCAGTGGTTTGGAAGCCCCTCCGTTGTGAGGCAGGCACATGTGGCCTTGCTGCGTGCCACCTGCCACCCCCAGCCGTGTGCGTCTGGGCACATCTCTAGGGTGGACGTGCTGTCCCTGGCCAGCCTGGCTCGGGAGGTGGGCCCACACTTGTGCGCAGCCACAGCCAGGGCTCCCGCCCCTGGGCCCCTGTGTGCCACGGGGCTGGCAGGCCCGGCAGACACCTGTGCTCCTCAGCCTCACGGCGGCCCCATGTGGGGCTCTGTCGTGGGGAATCAGGCTCTGGTCAGCCGCTGTCAGGCCACAGCTAGACAGGGTCAGAGCTGAGAATGCCCGGGTAGTGGCTCGTTCATAGTAACACCCTCACCCCCCCAGCACGTGGCGGGGGCTCTGACCCCAACAGCCCTGCTGGCGGGGAGCTCGGCTCCACTGGGCAGGCCGCCCCAGGTCCCCGAGGGAATACAGGGCAGAGCCGGGACCCCCGAGGCTCTGAGCTGGCACCTCCATGTCTGGGCTCTCAGGGGCCTCACCTCTGTCTTGCTGTCTGGTGTCTGGGGCCCTGTCGCCGGGCAGTGGGGTGCCTCCGGGAGGGGGCGCTGGGTGTGCCTGTCAGGCCACTGGGGAGGCTGTCTGCCGAGGCTGTTGGCAGGGGTCCTTGGGGCTGTTTCCTTGGTCCTCGGTTGTGGGGACCGGTGTCCACCTGGAAGGCAGGGTAGCTCTACTGTCACATCTCTGTGGGCCGGGCCACGGGCTTCCCTGTGCCTCAGCTGCAGCAGCCAGAGCCCCAGGGCCAGCACTGGGGGTGGACCCCGAGCCAGGAGACGGTGATAGAAGTGGCCGGGCAGGCCTGCCTGAAGTCCTCCCCGCCCCTTCCTGGCTGTGTCACCCCAGGTTCCTCACCTGTAGGGCGAGGGTGCTTGAAAGGCACCAGATGAGCACGTGTAAAGGAGCCTGTGGCCTTCCCCTCCCCTCCCACTGCAGCAGTAAGGATTCCGGCTAGACTTACGGCAGCCAGGCAAACCAGTTTCCTCCAGGGGTTGCCAAATCTGGAGGCCGAGTACTGGATTAGATGCCCCAGGGGCTTCGCCTTGCTGGGCCCGTGTGGATTCACCCCTGGTGCCAAACGGCGCTAATTCTGGGGCCGCCCACTCTGCCCCACATGAGTCTGCTTCACTCAAGTATCTCCTTCCTCACGGGGCTGGGCCTGCTCTGTGCAGCCGAGCTGGGGGCTGGGGACGCAGAGAGGCATGTCAGCCATGTTCATGGACAGACCCCCTTGGGCCTGCTGACCCAGAATCTCTTGGCTCGGTGAGGATCAGGCTATGACCCCAGAATCGCGGTGTGGCTGATGTGGAGAAGAGCAGGGCTTCCAAAAGGAAAGAGTAGGGTGTTCTGGGAAGCTTCCTGGAGGAGGGAACAGCTGAAGGGAAGGGAGAGGATGAGGAGGAGCCTTGCAGTTGGAGCCCTTTGAGGCCTGTGCCCTGACCCTGACCCTCATGGGCTCATGGGCTCCTGACATCCTCCATGCTTCTCCCAGTGCCCTGACCTGTCCTGGGCCTCACCCCATCTTTGGGTGTGGGGGCCTGCTGCTTTCTGCAGGACTGGCCGTTTGACGATGGGGCGCCCCCGCCTGGCAAGGTGGTGGAGGACTGGCTGAGCTTGCTGAAGACCAAGTTCTGTGATGACCCTGGCAGCTGCGTGGCCGTGCACTGTGTGGCCGGCCTGGGACGGTGAGCCGCAGGGCAGGGCGGCTTGCCTGAACTTGGGGACCCTGGGGCCTGGCTCGCTTTTGGGTGTGGGTGTGGAGCCTCCATCACATGTGACCTCCCTCTTAGGGGGTCCCCAGAAGCAGGCAGGGAGGAAGTCCTTGAGCAGGAAGGAGCTCAGCCCCATCCCTCCCCAGACACGAAGACCCCACCCCCACCCACAGCCCCGGTTTGGCCTGGGCAGTGGAATCCTACTTGCATCCCTATACAAGGACCGGCTGGGGTTGATAGCGAAGCATCAGGCTCTTGTCCATGGCCATACACAGGCCCAGCGCTTTGTCCCCCTCTTTCAACTCTCCCAACATCTCACTTACACACAAGGAGCCTGAGGCACAGAGAGGTTGCCTGGCCTCCCAGAGGTCACACAGCAGGGACTGGAAGAGCCAGGATTTGGGATCCCATGCGCTCCCCAGGGGAGGGAAGGGCACTGTTGGAAAGTGCAGGCAGCCCTCAGGCCTTGAGGGTGACGGTGTCCACTCTGCGTCTCTCAGGGGAGGGGTGGGTGTGGAGGCTTGGATGACCGGCTCCTGCCGTCTGCCCTAGGGCTCCGGTCCTCGTGGCGCTGGCCCTCATTGAGAGCGGGATGAAGTATGAGGATGCCATCCAGTTCATCCGACAGTGAGTGGCTGGTAGGGGGGAGGTGGCAAGTGTGGGGGCCCCAGGTGGAGGGGGCCCAGTGCCCTGCCAGCAGGCACTCCTGACCTCTGGGCCCAGGGTGTCCTCTGAGGTGTCCCCGAGCCCAGTGCAGCCTCATGTTGTGGTACCAATGCATCTCCTAGGCCATGAGACCCCCACAGCCAGGCCTCCTGGCCCCAACTGAGGACTGGTTCCTGTGTGTGGCCTGCTCCCTGGTGCTGTGAGGTGTGGATGAGGAAAGGCCACAGGGAGGGCCTGGCTGGTCCCATCACCATGGCTTGTGGCTCCCTCAGCCTGGGGCATATCAGTCAGCACAGGCTGGGACATGCTGAGTAACAAGCAGGCCCAAACCCATCTCTGACATAGGGAGTCATGGCAAACAACTCTTTAGGCCCCCAGCATTCGTGATATGGGGTGTCACTCCCCTCACTTCTTGGAAGGGGAAGGACACCCAGACCCCATCCAATCCTGCCCCTCAGTGAAGGGAACCTGAAAACCTTCCACGGCACCTCGACTCCCTGCCCTAACAGCCCCAGGGACGACTGACACACTAGTGTCGTTCAGAGCTACCCTCAGGCTGCCCTGGCCCCTGGGCTCCACTCCTAGTGTGCTCTCTGGCTGGGGACCCTTCCTACTTCTTGGCCCCCATGGAGGTCTCCCAGCCTCCCCCTCCTTAGGAGGGCCTCCCATCTGCCACTGCTCCTGGGAAAGGCGTGCTGGTGGGGCAGGGTCCTGGGGCGTCAGCAGGGATGGTGGGACTGACTGCAGAGGACCTAGGGCTGCGCTGGGCCCGAGTCCACCCCCAGCCTGGCCCACTGAGAGAGAGGGTGTGTGTGTGTGGGGACACATACATGTGCTCTGTGCCTGGGTGTGTTCTTGCTCTGCTCCCGCAGCGGTGGCTCCCAGAGCACAGCCATCTCCTTCTCCCGGAGGCAGGCTTGTTTACCAGCCAAGCGGCAGGTGCTGCGTGTGCCTGCAGGTGTTCAGGCCTCCTGCACATATGCACACGTGCACTCACATGCACACACTATTTCTCTCTGTGAGCCTAAGTGCAGCTATGCATCTTGGCACAGGTCTGAGGGGCACCTGGTGGGAGGGCCAGGCCTTCACCATAGCCTCTCCTCCCCCTACCTTGGTGAGCTTGTGGTCCCCCGGCCTGAGGTCCAAGGCCCGTGATCGGGGCTGGGTGGGCCCAACCCGGCGATTCAGAACAACACAAGCTCGTTCCTCTTCTGCTCACGACTCACTGGCCAGAGCAAGTCCATGGCCTCGTCTGAGGTCATGTGCAGGTGGGGTGGATGAGCTCCGGAAGTGTCAGGTGGGTGGCCCTAGGTGCCCCCAAACCTGGGCATCTGAGGTCCACCTCACTCCTCCCAGAGAGTGGGGATCCCCAGGCTCCATCCCTGTGGCCTCTGGGGTCCCAAGGCCTGGGGTTGGGGTGGTGCCCAGGTAAACACGGGGGACTTGGAAGGTCAGGGCCTTGTGGGTGGGGAGGTCAGGGAGTCAGCCTGGAGGCGGCGATGGCCAGGTGAGTTGAAGGCCAGCAGCGGTGACTGCAGGTGACTGGAAGGGTGATTCTGGCAGCGGGAACAGCTCAGAGGGAGGACGGGCTCAGCTGGCCACGGAGACCCACTGCAGCCCCACTGGATTCTGGAGCCCTGGGGCAGGGCAGGTGGCCAAGCCCAGGTACCACCTCATCCCCACCCCTGTCCTGTCTGCCCAGGAAGCGACGAGGAGCCATCAACAGCAAACAGCTCACCTATCTGGAAAAGTACCGGCCGAAGCAGAGGCTGCGGTTCAAGGACCCACACGCGCACAAGACCCGGTGCTGCGTCATGTAGCTCAGGACCCGGACGCCTCGCCCTGGGGGCTCAGCAGCGCTCCCGAGCCTCCAGCTCTCCTTCTCTCCTGCCACTCGGCACACCCGCCATTGACGGGTCCTGCTCGCCCCCGTTCCGTGCCATCTCCTTCTGTCTGTTCCCTCGTGTCTGTGCGTGCACGTCTGCGTCCGTCTTGGTCCACCCTTCCCTTTGTCCTCATGCCCTGCGTCTCCGTCTCTGTGCTGTGCCCTTGCTCCGTCTGTCTCTCAGAGGCTGAACGCCCCCTTCCCCGCCGCACCCCTTGCTCTCCTGCCGTGGCCTCCCTGCACTGCCCCTGGGCAGCTCTCCTCTCTGGTCCGTTTGTTTGGGGGCAAGTGTATTTTTTAACCACTGGGCCTCGCCTTTCCTCTGCAGCCCCTCCCCCGACCTGTTCTTGGCACCTTAAATTATTGAGTCTGGGGCGGTCAGATGTTCTGGACACTCGAAGGCAATAAAACCGGACCCTGTGGCTGTGTGTGCTTGGAGAGTAGGGTATGGGGCCAGGCAGCCTTGGGAGGACAGGCGGGTCCCAGGGAGAATGCTGTCCAGGATGGGATCCTGCAGCCCCGCCTGTGGGCTGTGACCCCCCCCACCGCCCCCACCCCCGGTGTCCGGCCTGGGGCTCCCCCTGGTGTCCATGCCGCGTCCCTGTGCTCCCTGGCTCAGGGACAGTGGACACCACTGAGGGACCAGAACGCGGGCTGAGTGCGCTCTGCCTGTTGCTGTGTTGCTGCTTTGGGGGCTGGGGCAGTGGCAGGCGAGACTGGGTCACCAGCACTGCCCTTGTGCAGGACGGGCTGGGGTTCACTTGGTAATTCTCTGGCCTTGTGTCCAGCCGGGTGGCTGCCCTGTGCTGCCCCCACCAGATGTCCTCATTTCAGCCTTAGAAGCCCAGAGAAAGTGGTGGGTGATGGCCAGCTGGGCTTGGGGTGGAGGGACCCAGCATCCCATCAGCCCAGGGCAGGCAGGAGGGGCAGGAGGGGTGGAGGGTGACCCCAGGACGCCTGGCGTGATGAGTCTGCATGTGTGGGGGCGCTGGACCTGCCTGAGGGCATGGATTGCCCGGCCTGGTGTTCCAATGCGCAGATCTTGCAGAGCTGGGGGCCCGCCCCTCCCTGGGTTGGGTGGGAGGGTGACCCACCGGGACTCAGGCCCCATCTCTCCGCCCCGGCCTGCTGGCTGGCCTGGCAGTGAACTGTTACCACCTTCCATGTGTCCGGGTCTACAGCCCACCACCCTGCTGGTGGGAACTGGGCCTCCCCCCACTTCCAGACTCAGCCTGAGCCTCAGTTTCCTCTAGGGGCTTATCCAGGAGCCCACTGGGTCCAGGCCCGCCCAGCTCCTAGCATTTATTAAACCAGACTTTGTGGAGGGAGAATGAAGCCCGGGGGAATGTGAAGGAGGCAGCCAGAGGGCAACCGCTGGGTGAATCCAGAGAAGCCCCCTCTTAGGGGAGCTGGCACCCCCACCGAGGGGCCATACCCACCGGCTGGATGGAGGGGACCCTCTTCCTGGGTCCTTTGGTCCTGAAGGAGTGCACCCCCATCCCCTCTGGCCAGGGGTTTGAGGCAGAGGAGGGGTCGTTGGGCACCCTCATGGACAAGATGGGGGTCATGAAAAGGCACACCCAACCAAAACCCCTCCTCGGGTGGCTGTAATCAGAGATGGCGGACAGGTGGAGAGGGGCCGCCATCTCCCCCGTGGGTTATTTCCTTTCCCAAACACATCCAAGGATGCAAGTGAATCTGGAGTGTGTCCAGGAAGTCGCTGTATTGTTTTCAAGCTGCCATCCAAATTTTGAGTCCTCCTGGGTGCCAGCCCTGGGGAGCCCCATCCCTGCCCCAAGGGGCTCAGTCTGCAGCAAGGTGAGACAGGCAAGGTGGGTGCCAGGCCTCAGGAGGGGCTGAGGAGGAGTGGGGGGCCTGGTTCACAGGCCCTGGAGGGATGGAGGTGTAGAGGGCCGAGGGGGTGGCATGGGGGAGGGGCTCTGCCTGAGCGGGGTGGGGAGGGTCAGTGTGGGCATGTGAGAGGAAGGCGGGGGACTGGCTTGCCTGGACCGTGTGTTGGAGGGTGGCTGGCTGGTCTGTCCAGAGAGATGGCCTAGGGTGAGGCCCTAGGGAGGACTCGGGGCACTCTCTGGACCCCCAGGCAAGGGAAGGGCCCACCTGCCCATTACACAAGTGGGAAGACCAAGGCTGGGAGGGGGAAGGACCTGGCTGAAGGCCAGGTGGGTCTCCAGGGGCTACCTGGGGGTTGGCAGACTTTTTCTGGACTCAACTGTCCTAGAGGGATTGGGAGGAAGGTCTTATGGCCCATTTTACAGATGGGACAACTGAGACTCAGAGAGCTGAGACCCTCACCTCAGGCCGTACACTCATCCAGGGTGGGCCAGGCCCGCCAGAAAGTTCTGACTCTGGGCCCAGGCTGGTTCTGCTGCTAATCCTGGGGGCCCGCCCTGACTGGACTCAGGAAGTTAGAGATGGGGACGCTGAATCCCCTGGGCTGAGGGCGACCAGCTGAGGGATCCCTTCCCGATTGTCAGCCCCTCAGCGACTACCAGCTCCAAGCTGGAGATACACTGAAGACTGGGGGTGCCTTGGTGAATGGCCCTACTCAGATGCGAGTCCCGTAGGCGCGTCCTTTCAGCACCCAGGACATGGGCAGGCAGGCTGTGGCTTGGGCTCTGGTTAAGCAGAGTCCCCCCATCTCCATGAGAGGAGGGGCTGTCGTTTGCAGGGCTCTGCACAGACTTCACAGTCTGTCTCTGGGGGACACAGCCTTGCCGCCCCCCAGGCCTGGCCCTGGCTCCCAGTCCTGCCAGTGTCTCCTGGGCTGGCCCACAGGACGGCGGCAGGGAGCAGACCAGTATGATGCTTCTGTTTTGAATCTAGATCTTTCTTTCAAGTGGGAAAATGTTATGCAACCAAGCTCTGTGTGGACAGGGCAGGGCTGGCAGATGCGGTGGGCACAGGGGAGGGGACGGTGAGGAGGCACCGCTGGAGGTCACCGTGGTCTGGTCGCCACCTCCTGGAGGAAGGAGGCCTGTCTGGTGGCGAATTCGCGGATGCCGGGCTCTGGGTCATTTTTGAGATCCTCAAAAGCTCCAGGAGAGGAGGGACAAGTCAGAGGTGCACCCCACTCAGGTCCTGTCTGCCCAGCCCTGCCCTCACTCCCACCTGGGGTGGGGGAGGCAGGTCGGTGTTCTCGGCTTTCCAGGCCTGGGAGCTTCCCTCCCCAACCCTGCCCTTTCCTGGGCCTTGGGGAGCCCATCACAGCCTTGCTATATTCTAGCCTCAGGTGCCCACCCACTGCAGGCACGGATGGAGGTGTGGACGGGGCGGACTTACTGCAGAGCAGCAGTTTTGTGTCCATGTCGTTGACCATCTGGGACACGGCCTGGAGGTGGTAGCAGATGGTATAACCTGCGTGACAGATGGAGGAGGCCAGGGGAATGGGGGTGGGGCTTAGACCCACTCCTGCCACCCCAACCCGGAGGCCCCCTCACCCGCCACCTTTCCTCTCTTGCCAGTGGACCCCAAGCTCCGGCTGGAGTGGCGCGGCAGGTGAGGGCGGGTGAGGGTCAGGGTTCTCCCAGGCCGGCCTGGAGGTCCCTGAGCCTGGCCGGCCTGCTCACCTATGAAGAGGGCTGCCCAGGTCTTGAGGTGATGGTGGCGGCTGTGCAGGTAACTGAGGGCCTGCGCCAAGTGGATGCTGAATTCCTCCTGGCTGTGGCTCATCTGGGGAGCATGCCTGTCACTCGCTGGGGCTGGAGGGTGGCTCTGTGCAGACCACAGACCAGAGCCCCGCTCCGCCCCCCCAGTCCTGCCTCCCCTCCCCCGCCGCACCCCTCACCAGGCAGGTCCAGAGGAAGTGGCGCGCGCTGAGTCCCGGCTCCCAAGCCAGCGTGCAGAAGAGGGTGTGGCGCAGCCGCCAGCGGAGCAGCACGGAGCAGCGGTAGAAGGCGAACTTGGCCTGCTGCGGGGTCAGCAGGGGCGGGGTCAGCAGGGGCGGGGTCACCCACCACTGGGGGCTCTGAGCTGAGGAAGCGCGCAGTGCTGGGGCAGCCCCTCCTGGGTCCCTGGCCCTCCTGCTGGCCTTTTCCTCTCTGTCTGCACCCTTAACCCATCCCCGCCTCCCTGGCTGCTGCACCCCGGCCGGCTGGACTGAAGGCAGCTCTGGGTCTCCACTTGTGTGGGAACTGGCCACTTAACTGTCTGTCTTCTTGACAGCCAGGAGCCCAGGGAAGGCCACGCTGTGTCTTAATGGTCTAGACACAGGGTACTGGCTGGCACACAATAGGGCTCAGGCCACATTTCAACAAGTTCAACGAACAACCTGAGCCCCCATCATATGCCAGGCGCTGGGGATGCAGCGGTGAGCAGGACAGACTGGGTCTGGCCCGCACAGACGGCACAGCCACACATGTGCATGCGAGTACGTGTGTGTGTGTGTGCGCGCGCACATGGGGAGGGGCAAGGAAACCAGCAAGGGGCCAAACACACCACCCCAGGGAGCACCCCCTTGCTCTCAGGCAGCCCTGCTGCTGCCAGCAGATCCCCAGCCTCCTGGCCGCCTATGGGTCCGTCGGTAGGCACTGACCGTGACGACGGCTGGACAGCTGTCCTTCAGGTGCAGAAGCAGTGGCACCATGCTCTGGTGCACCTGGGTTCGAAGCCCACTTAGCTCTTGGCCTGTCATTGTCGCCACCAGGTCCCCGAACAGTGCCATAGCTGCCGCCCGGACTCCCTCTCGCTCCTGCAAGGCAGGGGCTCAGAGCCACAAACATGCCTGGGGGTCCCAGTCCCACCCAACTTGGGACCCTCCACTCCCTGGTGGGGGTGGGACTCGGCCCTCTCAGCAGGACCCTTTCACCTGGGCTTAGGGCTCCCAGGGCAGGGCTGTGCCTCCCGCCAGACAGGGCTCCCACGAGAGGGTTACAAGCCGTCCTCAAGGACCTAAAATCGTCTGCCTCATGCTCACAATCACATCCTGACAAGCGAGTTGCTGTTATGAATGCAGCTGGGGCGCGGGACTCATCCCTCTAATTTCCCAGTGAAGGAAAATCTGTCATTGCAAACGAGCTGACAGTCAGGAAGCTAAGGTGGGGTTGGAGAGGCTGACA